GTTCCAGCTGCAAAGACCGCTGCTTTTGTCGGTTCTCGTCATTACCGCTGCTCAGTCGGTGATTGAAATTATCAAGCTCCTTCCTAATGCGAGAAATGAGGATTTTGTGGTCATTTTTGGCTTTCTTCAAACGAGATCGCTTTTCATTGAGCTTTGACTCGGCATTGATGATTGAGTTTCGAAGCGTGGTGGTCGGGGACGATGGCCGGTGGAATGGGCGAGGCGGGGTTGGCATGGTGGTGACGGCGCTTTGGTCTGCATCGGGTGCTGCGGGGGTCTTGACGCTCATGGATCCAATTTCCTCGTCGGTATCGCTGCGTACAAAAGAGCAAGTATAGGCGCAGTTTGGGGCTAAACCAGAGATCTCTCCCCTCCACTGCACAGCACTGGCTCCCTTCGGACCTTCGCAGACCTTGGTGATATTCGCAGTAGCCCAGAGTGCTCCATTGACACAGACATAAAAAGGCTCCACTTCGTTGTTCTCTAAACGCCCATCTTCACAAACGGCCGCGGTGGTTCCATCATCTCCGACTGCAAAATCACCAGCTGCAAACTTGATTGTCGAACTGTCTATATTAGTAACCCAAATCAATCCATCATCTAACGTGATTCCTTGGAGGTCATCTTCAGTCATCGGAAGACCACGGGTGGTCTTGGAAACGGCCCTAGAATGTTCATACTCTCTCATGACGGTAACTTTTGTACTGGCCAAAGCAGCCCAAAAGGGCTGCCGACTTCGCACCTGGTTCGCCTGTCTCCTTCGCTTTTTGGCGCTGTGCAGTCGATCCCTGCTCTCCTTCAACGCAGAAGGACCAATCAGGGAACCATCGGTACCCAATACAGAAGGAACACTTGCTGTTGATTCAAAAGCCGAGTCGATTTGCGTCTGGGAGCCGGCGGATGCTTCGGCATCGACCCGTTTCCCAGACCGAGACGGTTGAGGCGAGCGATTTCGGGCCATGGAACGTCTGGCCATGGCGGTTCCTGCTTGAGCTAGAATGTGAATGGCGAGGAGACTTCGAAGCCAACTGGGAGACGATTGCGGCTCTGTTCGTCGGAATTCTTGCGGGAAGAAATGAGACCATCGAGATAGTACATCCGGGCTAATCAGTTTGGCGGCAATCAGGTGGCCGAGAACAAAGTCTTGGACGCCTTTACTTCGTACAATATGCAACAAAAGAACGGTTCCAACACATATGGTATTGACGCCTCCGTTCTTGCCGGAGCCACCACCGCCGAGGGTGATGGCAACCTGTACATGGGCCAAATCCAGAGCGAAATTCTGAGCCCAGGTCCACATGAAGAGACCCCAGAGCAACAGACAGAAACCATCCATAGCAATCATCGTTCCAAAAGACGGCGTTCCGGCGGGACCCTGAAAGATATCAAAGTTGGAGGTGAAAGAAGAGCCGGAACCACCGCCGGGAGGCATAAATGTCAAGGAGGCGAACAAGAACTGAACCAGGGTGAGGACGATCGGAGGCAGTTGAAGCAGGAAAATCAGAATGGCGATGGTGTCGTACATGGGACAAGACTTGAGGATGGTCGACGCCAGGGCGAAAGGGTTTACAGACGCAGTTTGGCGCTTGTTGATTTTCGACTGGGTGCCGTCTCCCCCGACGGCGCCGTTGGTGCGTCCATAGGCCATCTCGCCATTCGCTTTGTACCCGGTGCCGTTGGTGTAAGTGGTGTCGGCGTCGTCAATCTTGGGTCCATCAGCCGCACCATTTGCTGCCTTGGCCGTTGTCACTGCCGGGGAGTCGGGGGACTGGCGGAGATCGGTTTGCGAGACAGAATTCGACGAGGCGCCACTGCTAGCATTCCCATTCAAGTTACCGGACGACTTTTGCTTGTTCAGACGTTTGCCATTAACCGCGGTGCCGTTTTCACTCCGATTGCTGTTCTGATGACCTCTCCGAGCTGCAGCCGCTGAGCGTGGCATGGACAAGGAGAGACGTTCAAAGGCCCAGTTCCGAGTCCGCTTGGCAGGATGAAGCCAAGGACTTGGGACCAGGCGTGGATTCGCACGGCGACGATGGAAGACGAACGCAATCCGAGGTCGAAGGAGAGATGAGCAACGGAGGGAAGGGGTGTGAGAATAAGGAACGGCTTTGGATTTTTGCAAGGGCGCTAATCAGGACGAAGATGACGAATCTGCCGAGGCCCGTTAGGTTAGAAACGATGGCAAGTGGTCAGAACATGCGATGGGGGGGTGTGGGAAACACACAAACCAAGGGAGCGAATGTGCGGAAGAAGTGTCGACAGAGCGCCGCGGGGAGGGGCGGGGACGATGGCGAGGCCACGCGGCGGTTGTATATTAAAAGAAAAGAGGAAAAAAATACAAGGAAGAATGGCCACAGACCAGAGAGAAAGAGGGGAGGGGGAGGGAGAGGTGATGGGTTGTGGATGGAGTGGTGGTGGTTGGCAGATCGGACAGGGCAGAAAAGAGGCAATCGGGAGGCAGAGGATTTTCGGGTTTGCTAATGCTGAGCCTGGGTTGCTAGGCTGGGCCGGGCTGGGCTTGGCGCGCTCTGGGTGGCCGGAGCGAAAGGGCCAAAAGTGGAAATGGCAAATAACTGGGCCGCCGCGCTAGCGCCTGATGTGGTAACTGCTGTCGATCGCCCGCCGGCGCTGATCCAGGTCGGCGGTTTGCAAATACGTGAAACTTACCGCCGGTATTTTAAATCGGCCTTTAACAGCTGCCTCGAATGAATGCGCCCATGAGATAGCACGATTCAAAACAGCAAATGATAACATACTCACAATAATAATAATACTATTACGTACTACGTACTTATCCTGTAGTACTAATAATAAGTTATATACATGACAAAGCCCTGGCGCCTCATTTCACATTCGCTGGCTTAGCGTCTTACCGCGGAAGCAAAACGTGTCACAATCAGAGGCTGCCGCTTAGGCAATCAGCACTACTGCTAGTCATTAAGTTGTGGTTATTATTTTGCACCCGATTCTAGAAGTTGCGATCTCATATTAAGCTTTTGGCTTGCGGTATTAATGCATAGTTGATGGTGTGTATTCTGAACATTACACGTGTAATTATCGGTACGAACGCTCTCACAGGCGCGGACAACGGTCCGGCTTCGTCACATGTATAATAACCCTAGCATAATAATGCTCGGCACTATTCTTCACGGTCTGGTCACTAGAAACTGGAATCCCGGAAAAGGGGTCACAGGTGTTTTCCATATATATAGAGAGAGAGAGAGATCTATATTTTTCTCTCTACTTTTTAATTAAATATACTATGTAGCGCGACAGTCTCCGTGTAAGCAACTCGTGGATTGCCACTGATTTGCCGATTCGACTGTCTGATACCAACTCAAATCGAAAATTCCGGCGAACCGCTCTCTCAGCTCTACTTCGGTGGAGCTAGCTGAACAGGGTAAAGAACGGATCTGCAGAACCAGATGAAAGAGACGATGTTGGTAACAGTAAGCCAGGCCTTATTCGCCACGCTCGTACCTTATTTCCATGGATTCCTTTTTTCCCAGAATACGGTACGTACTCTCTTGAGGAAACTCCAATGTTGCTCAACTATATTACTTGGTACTTCGTGGAAGATATAGTATTGCATGGTATCGTCCCAAAGTGGGGGAGGAAGTCTTCAAATTTTTGAAGAGGGATAAAAAAAAGAGGTCCAATTTAGTTCAAAACAAAGAGGAAAAGTAATTCGTCCAATTGTAAAAGTACTCCACGTGATGCTCCAATAGCCTTGGGCCCTAAAACAGAGAGAGGGAGGGGGAACAAGTTAGTTGGCTGTCATCGGCATAATTACTATTTCCATGCCTCGCAGCAAAAAAAAAAAAAAAAAAAAAAAAAATAGCCCCCCCCACCATC